TATTCACGACCAAACACTTTGGTTGACAAAATTAATAATTTTACTGACTAATTATTTAGTCGCTAAATGTACCCTTTTGCCTACCAACTAGTTGGTTGCCAAATGTGAGTGGTCAAACACCAACTAACAACTTTAGTCGGCAAAAGTATTAGTTGTTTTTCTCGACTAAACACTTGGTCGCCAAAAGAGGAAAAACCAAACCGAATTTTGGTCACCAATTCAATTCTTTTTTTTTATCCAAATAAAATATTAAAAGAATTCCATTTGACCTGTACGATATAATAATAATCCATCCTATCCATTCAATATAACATGTAATTTGCAAGAATCATTCAAACCAACAAAATCAACTGAATCATAAACATCCAACAAAATACATAATCCATCCAATCCTTAACCTGTTTAATTAAAGTCATCAACTATTTTAAGTTTTCATCCACAAGTAATCCCAAACTACATAATCGTCCAATCCAAAATTTCATGTAATCTATATAATCATCCAATTCACATCCATCTAGTATAAAAATTTAAAATATAACAAGTACTTGATGTATTTACCTCTAGAGTCATGCTTATGAGATGCTCGATTTATTGATTTTCATGATAGTATTATAGGAATGATGGAATCAGGCCTTCATAAAGGACCTATTCATTTTAACTGCTTTTCTGACTTTACTCTTAGTTTACGTGATCCTCATATATTAAAAGCTTTAACCTTAAACACTCAAATATCTGGTGCAACTGCTAATATGATTGAAAAAGTAAATAATCTTGCTTTAATTTGTCGCGTACATTATAAAGTTGTTAAAACCAATTTAAATGTTCAAGCTTTAAATAAAAGTCCCAAAGATAAAACACTGCTCATCCAAAGCAGCAGTAATGATGTTAATATTTCAGTCCCTAATATGATTAGTTGGAAAAATATCACTTTACCTGAAGAATGGGTTACTACTAATGAAAATTACAATCTGAATCCACAAACACACCAAGATGAGCTTCAAGAAATTCAATAATTCACTGATGGATCTGTTCATATTAATTTAATAGAATAAAGAGTCAATCCTGTAGGTATAGTACATCTACTGAAAATGACGAAGATGAAATATTTAACAGACCTTTATTTCAGAAAGATAGTCATATTAATTTTGGTCAATCCTCTAACACCCACAATAAGTTAAAAGGAATCGATAATTCTTCCACCTCTCAGATTAGTAAACCTGTTTACTCCACTCACACACATCTTCAAGAAGAAGATATTGTTCCCAGGATTCACCTACTCAAACTGACTTTGAAGTAGCTACTCCTGTTAATCCACAACTATTAACCCTTAGTAAACCTTTTACCCCAGATCTGAATAAACTTCATGCTGAATACAAATCTCAAGCAAATAAGTCAAAACGTCATAATTATTATAAACAATATAATGATAAAAAACAAACAAAGATTACTAAACAATGGTATAAATTTATGACTGAAATCAATACTGAAATTAACTTTTTTTGACTATTTAGAAAATTACTATCAAAAAATTAATGTTGTCACAAAAACGAAATGGAAAACTTCCAATACTACTTTTGTCTCAGCTAGTCACCCTCCTTTAGAAAACATCCTTATTGAACATAAAGGTACTACTGTTCCCGCTTCTCCCTTTAAACTTCCCGGCGATGAGCCATCTGAAGTTAAAAAGGTTATTGAACAAAATAATTATATAAATCGATGTTTAAAAACTATTAGTAAACAACTAGACAAAATTGAAACAACTTTTGATGAATATTCAACTAGCCACACATCAACTAGTAATGTAACGCCCCCAAAATAATACAATAATGATAACTTATATGCGGATTAAATATGAGAAACAACATACTTTCATACATCAGAGTTTATTGTTTAACAAACAATTAAATGCCACGCAGGCTTACATCTTTCCAAGTCACTGCTTGGTTACACAAATTGGGTCTTGCTCATTACATCTTAAGCTCTCGGCTTTACAAATAACAAACATACACACATAAGGCATAAATAAGAAGCTCTTGCTTCCCAAAAGTCCACCCATGCTATTGCCTTGGAGGAAATAATTCACCTGCACCTGAAAATGATATTCCCGTATAGGGTGAGCCAACAGCCCAGTAGAAATAATCTAACACAATATATGAGGTTTAGCAAAGGTATAAATATCACGTATATAAACAATACCGATACAGAAGTATTCACAAGGCCTGCATATTCATATGCCACTAAGATCAATCCTATTCCATTTTCCTTCAATTCATTTCCAATTCATATGCACTACTCAATTTATGAGTTAAATTCTTTATCTTTCAACAACCAATATGAGATTACAACTCAATAGTTTTTCCATTTATGCAAAACACACATAAACACTTTAAACTTGCCATTTTACGAATATTTCGTCCGAAGAAATCGGCACCCATTTATATATAAAATTTACGATCTTTCACCCAGGATACTCCGGCCAACTTGCTTTAAATGGAGTCCATCCCCTTTCTCCTCCCAAACAAATATACATACGCAATGTATTTATAAACAAAATCATATATGGAGTGCATCCCCTATCTCCTCCCAATAAACATACATATATAATGTATTTAAAAATATATTCACATATGGAGTACATCCCCTATCTCCTCCCAACAAACATACATATACAATGTATTTAAAAACATATTCACATATGGACTACATCCCATATCTCCTCCCAATAAACATACATATACAATGTATTTAAACACATTGTCATATACAATGATAAATTATAGCACATGTTCAATGTGTTAATCCAACCGTCATATTCAATGACATAATTCAGTTGATTAGTTTCAATTTACCTAATCATCATGCAGTTCTACAATAATCATGGCTATCCTCCACCGACAGCCCAAAACAATTATCACTAAACAGGTAAATAAATCTATCAACAGATAAATTATTACATCTTCCATAGGTGAATGATTTATCAATCCAACTACACCATTTAATTACATTTCCACCCAATTTCATCATTTCCAATCCAATTATATATTCCCATAATTAATTTCATTATTTTGATAAACAATTCATTTAATCCCAATTAGGGCGTTTTTCCCTCTTTCTCAAACAACAACCCCAAGACTCAATTTCATCAATTATACACAAATAACCCCATTTCAAAACCCCATATTCACAACAGAGTCCAAAACTGAGAAACCCCTCTTTTATAATTTCAAATCCAAATCTTAGATTTGTCCAAACCACAACCAAATCTCATAATCTATACACAATAGAAAATAACTAAGCTAAAAACCATATTAGAGTGTAGAAAATCCCTACCTCAAGTTTGACGAGGAAACACGCCAAAATCCAAATTTTCGATCTTGTCGGATTTTAATCTCTACCAGTCAAAACTTTGCTCTCACCAACTTCTTCACTTTGGTAGCTGCCCATAATTTAATACCCCCTCAGATGGGCTCAACTCAATGTTCCCAAAATGTTGTAGTTCACCTTTAGTAAAGTTTTGCCCTTGTGAACATTTCATGATATACATATAATCAGTAGGCTTAAGTGCAAATCCAAGGCCGTCCCAGTCTATGACAGCTAATTCATATAATAAATCAATGTATATGCGTATCAATAACATGCCCACAATGGCCATCTTCACCATAGTCATAATACATATGATGAAGAGTTTACACAAATGAAGAACCCAAGGCTTCTGCAGCATTAAGTCGTTCCTCATGCATGTCTTCTGTCATAAGTGGTGCATCCTGCGTAAATGGAGCATGCAAGTTCTGGTCTGGTTTTAGAAGCATCATACCCACAACACCAGCTGATCCCTTCCTGATACGATCTGAAGGCCTTAAATTAGAAGATATCACAACATCCTGAGTCTCAGAATTAGTCCTCAATACAGAAGTTTCAGGATGACATGAATCATCTGACAGTGTGCCACTGCAGCAGGGAAAGAAACAAAATCGTGCATTCCATCAACCTCACCGCCACCACTGGTTGTTTGTACATGATTATTATCATCCTCAATGTCGCTATCACCTTCCATCTTTACATTATCTACATCATGTAATATCTGGGGATCTCCTGAGACTGTGTCGGCAACCTCCAACTGCTCTGTTGAGGATGAAGGGAACTCACTCTGGTCACCTGAAACTAGGACTTTTTGAGATACAGTAACTACAGAAGATTGAGAGGCATAGAAGTACCATTCAACCCAACACCAAACTGGGTTGTAAATTCCACTTTTCCCAGGAGGATGTGACAAACCCTTAACAATTCTAGAAACTTGATGTTAAAGTTTCTGAAGTGAAATATTACTGTTTTTCTCTTTCGATGAGAATACCACAGATGGTCGTGGTGGAGGATCAGCAGTGGCAGCATCTTCTATTGTCTGCATAAAGAATGAAGTACTCCAACCAGGGCTACCTGAGTCTGAAGATAAACACGTAAACACGTGTAGAGGGAGAAATGATTAAGAGAGCTCAGGCGGCCATAAGAAAAATCAGACCCATCTCTCTCTCTTGAAAATATTCCTTACACCTTTTGAACCCTACTCCAGCACTTTTTTTTTTCTTTTATCATTGTGTGTCTCCCCTTTCATGATACAACACCCACTCCCTTTTTTTTTTTATGTATTCCTTTACGAGAGAGAGAGAATGGTTTGGCCTCTTTTTAGCCACACTACAGGAAAAAGAGGTTTAGGCGGCATTTTTTTAACGACGCATTTTTAAACGTCACTTTTTTTTAACATTTAACGACGTTTTTTAAAACATCGCATATTTGTTCAACAAAACGACATCGTTTAATAATAGGAGGCGTTTAAAACGCCTCCGAATGTGTTGTGCCTCACGCGCTTGGTCTCCTCTTTTCAAAGCCTAATTTTGAATCTCAAACTAAGACCCAAATTTTCGAGCTCTCTCTCGCTCTCTCTCTCTCTCTCTAAATCTCAGAGCGATTTCGAAGCTCCACCACTATCTCTCTTTCTCTCTCTAAATCTCTCTCTCAACCCTCTCTAAACCCTTATCAGAGCCATTCAGAGATTCATCTCAGTGATTTCATCACAAAGATTCAGAGCGATTTCATCTCAGTGATTTCATCGCAGAGATTCAGAGATTCAGATCGGTCTCCACCATCTGCACCATCGTCTACATCATCATCTACACCATCGTCTCCTAAGGTGAGCTCCACCGTCTCTCTTTCTCTCTCTCTCTGAAGCTCTTCCTTCCCGTCTCTCTCTCCGTTTCAGTGATTGATGAGTTGTATATGCTCTAGTTAGCCCCAATCCAAGATTGATCCATATGAGGTTAGGGCCCGTGCTAAACAGGTTGTGCAAGATCAGCGCCGTCTGAAGGTTGGTCTTCCAATCTCAGTTTTATCGATTCTTCTCTCTCTCTCTCGATCTCTGTCTCTCTCGCACAATCTCGTTATATGCGTACACATTATCTGTATTTGTTTTTGGATAATTTTTTTTTTCTCTTAAAAATCTCTCTATACAAGTATATTTATGAATTTATATATGTATTGATTGAATAATCATCCTTTTTTTTGCCCTGGCTCAGACGAAGGGTCATCTCCTTTTCATCAAACACAAGATGAAAAATCTGACAAAATAAATTGCTCACTTTGAACAACATATTGATTGGATTTCCAAGTTGATGTAGATTGTTATTGTGACTTGTATATATATATAGTTGGTGGAATGTTGAAATTTGAGAACTTCGTTATTGTTTATGAACTACAAATAACTCATTTTGGATCAGTTGGAGTTGTAGGAGAAAAAGGGGCAGATGAATGTGTGGGTTTAACCGTTTCTGATTTAATGAAGTAACTGTTGAACATGATCTTGCGTTTGTCTCATTTTTTCTCGTCCAAATTATTTATTTCTAGTCCTCTCACTGCCACTAATACTATCTCATATTTGAGTTCATGGCCAGTAACCCGTATATTCATTGTGCATGCCACATCTGTATCTGTTACTAACTGGACTATAATCTTCTGCAGGTCACTATGTTGTAATATGTGGCTATGATGCTATGACAGATGAGCTTGAGCAATTGGTTTTGTTTATTGTAGTTTCCACTTTGGATGATTGTGCAGGAAACATGAGAAGGTCACATCAAAGCGCCTAGAATAAGCTCGCAAATCCTTTGGAATTGATGAAGATCTTCTCTTGGTAAATTTAATACATCTTCATAAATTATTCACTCTAGAGGATATATCTTAAAGGATGGGATCTTCCTTTTATGATCTCATATTGTTTGAAATGTCTTGCTGGCTATATTTTTGTTATCGTGCATTGAAGGAATGGGAGCTATATTCATTTGAAAAGTTATAAAGGATGATACTGCAGATTTTCACTTTCTAGAATTCAGTGTGGCTGCCTGGAAAAGGATAAAAGGCATGAAAAATGAAGTAGCTATTCTCATGTTAAATACTTTGACATTTGTCGTGCCATCTTGTTAAGCGCTACGGGCCATGTTCTTTGATGAAAAATGATAGTTGGGTAACGTGGATCCTGATAAGTACTAGACACTAACTACTTGACTCCGAATTTGGAGTAAAGGTATTTTGGTATTTCCGCACTTGTGACTTGTTGCCCTGTTTTAATAACCTATGTTAGGAGGTCGTTGTGAGGAATTGTTACACCTAACCAAGATCAGTGAAAGATGAAACACAAATAAGAATAAAAACAAGAATCTAATCAAGCACACAAGAACACAAATTTACGTGGACTCCAAACTAGGGCCACGTCCACGGCTATTAGGTCTTTGTTTCTATTTTTCTTTTTTCTTCCCCTTCTTTTTATATGTATTTGTTTTCTTTGAAAGTAACGGAAGGAGGAGTGTCTTAAAAAACTAAAAAAAAGCACCAACAAGAGAAGGTTGTTTTAGTGAAAATGAAAATTGGCAGTAGTAGCTGTACAAATGATTGCATTTCCCATTTTGGATTGTCCATGCAGATATCTTTGGATAAGGGAGAGAATCAAAACACCCATTCGGTGCAGCTCTCTTCGCTCGTCACTTTTGATAGATGACATTCTTGTATTTTATTTACTCGTTCATCCATTCATTACATATATATATATATCATTATTTGTCGATGTATAATTTGCGCCTGTAGCCAATTTTAGTGTGAACTTATAGGATAATAATCCCTGTATTTAGGTGTCCATGCATGTCTTAGTTCAAATTATTCAACTTAAATAATAATCGTATCTTTTTCTTTGGTGTCAAGAAGAACATGATTGGTTCTAGTGGATTAGATGATGATATACAGAACAATCATAAGGGGCTCCCATAAACTCCTAATTTTCAATTTCACTTAGTTATTTCTACAATATTTTAAGAGTTAGGAATTTGAAGGCATCTAAAAGCCCCAATGTCTTTATTTTGATTTTTGGTCATTTTGGTTGATCTTTTTAGTATTAGTATTGACAATTTAACAAATTCATTGAGTTTTCATTTATTGTATTACCACTATACCAATTATTCATTTATTGTATTACCACTATACCAATTATTTATTGGTTGATCTTTTTAGTATTAGGAGAATCCATGCACAAATGGTAGTAGTTGGCTTTGTTCCCAATGAATATTTGGTAACCAAATTGTTGATATTGTATGCAAAGGCAGGGGATTTAGTAACTGCTGGCAGTCTGTTCAATGAGTTGTCGAGGACTAGCTTAATTTCATGGAATGCAATAATTGCTGGTCATGTGCAAAATGGTCTTGTAGAAATGGGATTGAGTCTTTATTATAAGATGAGACAGAGTGGTTTGACACCAGATCAGTACACCTTTGCATCAGTCTTTAGAGCGTGTGCCACTTTAGCAACATTGCAGCAGGGCAAGCAAGCAAAATACTTCGTTGTTTGTCTTTGCATTATCAGCTGCTTATATGTATTGACCCTTTCTCATCTATAAAAATTATACTAATGCCCTATTCTAAAGGTGGTTTTTGAGTGTGAAAGTATTTTTCTTACATTTTCATAGTTAAAATAATTAAAATATACATGTTCATTCATATAGGGAATAAGTCGATATTCACCAATAATTAATAAAATTTGGATATAATTAACCCAACAGTTCGAATTTTGATACAATTTAAAAGCTTTGCTTTTGACTGCCAGATTTTTATTTGATTTCTGTATCAACGCACTATTGTGATGAAACTCCTCTACTATGATGATGTCATGGTATGCGTTTCAGTTAATTAGATTTTTGTGTACTTCATCTTTCAGATCATTGGATATCCTTGATTAAAGGTATAGAAAATCCAAAATTTGATACTGTTCCCATGAAAAGGCTGAGGAAATAATTAATGCAACTCATAAGCACTAGTATCTGCATATGATCTCCATAAATTAGCATCTTTTGTGGTTTGTTCTATTAGTTGTCCAATGATATTATCTAATTATAAATTATCTCTATGCTATTAGAATTGTGTTCTTTTTAAACTACAGTTTTGTTGGCATGAGAAATTCTGGTAAAGATAGGGACATTTGAATCTTACAGATGTTGGGTGTTTTGGCTTGTCATTATCCCAATAATGCATCTAAAAATCCTTCTCCTCTCTCTGTATTATTTGACCACAGAAAAATATAGTCACTCACACATTGATCTTGCAGCCTGTGGATTACGAGCCTCCATTCTTCAGAAGCTGCTCAGAACAAGAAGCTCATAATCCATGGATAAAAAATCCTCTGGAAATGGAGGTTGGGAATGTCAACAGCAAGCATTTAGTATTAGCTCTCAAGGTAAGGATAGAATATTGTAGGAACACTTGGTTCCTTGTTCGAAAACTTTAAGTTAATGTTTGCAACTGGGAATTTGTGCAGGTTAAGAGTGTGCTCGATCCTTGTGAGGATGAAAATGATGACATTCAAGATGATGATGCGAGCTTGGGGGCTGATTTTTTAGGTTTTGTCTTCTAGATTTTTTATTTTTTGTTCATTGAATGACTGATTATGCAGTTTTAATAAATCATAATGTTTTTCTGGTTGTTTTTTGGATGCACTTTCTCCTATTGATGGGTAAATTACATGCAGGTTTATGTGGTCTATTGTAGGCACTTATTAAACAAGCAAACAAACTGTCTATCCCACATTTCTTTTTTGGAAAAACTATTCAGACTTGTTAAACTAATTTATGTTCCATGTTGAGCTTCTCACTGGAAGGTTGGCAAAGTCAGCATTCTTCATTTAGGATTTATGAACCGAACAAGCCATGTTTTTTTTTCCATCGGCAACCGAACAAGCCATGTTGTATGGCAAACTTTCTATAATGTTTTGCTGAAGTAAGATTTTGGTGACCACGTAAACTCAATTTTTGCGGTCAGTCATTTGATCAATGTAGCAGAACCACTATATGGAGTTTTTAGTCTCTTGTTATTTTGGAAAAGTAAATCAAAGGAATAAGATGGTGATTTTGGGGTAAATCATTTAGAAACTTGCAATGAAATTTGGATGGACAAATGTACGACAGTCAATAGGCATGGAAGCACATTTTGTTCAATTGGTAACCAATCTCTCATTTCTCCTTGCATCGACATTGACTTTTGCTGCTTCATATTGTCTTGGATGTCATTATATAGATATAATTTTCCTTTTTAAATTGCTCTACTGTGGTGGCTGTGGTTCTGGAAGTTGCAGTGCTGACTATCTCTTGCTTGTAATTTTTAATTATAGGAGGCCTGAATGTGGAAGGGGAGGCAGACAACTGGGATTTTGGTGTAGGTATGTACTATGCAACAGGGAACTTTAATATTTTAGGGCGTATGATTGGCCATCATGTGTTAAGGTTATACACATTCTAAAAGAAAATAATATGTTAAAGACCCTTCAGAAGTCTTGCCTAATTTGATGAGTGGGAGTTAGATCAAATGACCTCTAAATTTGTTTATGCTATGAGAGTATTATTTATTTAATTTTACATGATTCTCATGTGTCTGTATTGTCTTTAGGTATACCCTTTTCTTTATATGTATTTAGTGCTTCTTGGTATGTGATAAAATCTTCTTGTTAGTGCTTCTTCAAGTTTTAAGTACTCTTTATAAGTATTGGGTACAAATTCTTCAATTTGTGTTTATTTTGATGAATCTGATTGCAGTTTATGTTCTGATGCAGGCATGTAGAACAATGAAGACTACAACTTTAATGCTAAGACATGATTTTTGAATATATGTTAGTTTGTGGTTAATGCTAAGACATAATTTTTGGATATATGTTAGTTTGTGATTTAATGTTAAAACATGATTTTTGGATTTTGAATATATTAATTTTGTGGGTAATGGTGATTGGATATTTATTGAATGAGAAAGTGAATTAGTGCTTCATTATAGCTATTTGAATGGGAGTTATTATTTTATATTAGTGCTATTAAGGTACTTTTTTAGTTCAATCAAATAAAATTAGCACAATTTCAAAAAAAAAAAAAAAGGATATAACAGCGTTTCTACAAACGCCTCTTAAACCCTACTTATTAACAGTTGTATTTTAAAAAAAGATATGACGGCGTTTTTAAAAAACGTCGCTAAATATCATAAGTGATGCAAGCGTGTGTTTAGTAGGACATTTGGCGGCGTTTATACTATTATCACGACGTTTTTAAAATGTCACAAAGCTATAGCGACGGCCGCGTCCTCGGCGTTTGGTACTAAGCGTCGCAAAAGGAATTAGCGGCGTTTTTGACACTTATAACGGCGTTTTTTAAACGCCACTAAAAATCTGTTTTTCAGCAGTGCCATCTCCCCCCAGATTCTCTTTTATTAGTGGGATGATTTTTTTTTTTTTTTTTTTTATTTTTTGGTCATCACGTATTTGTTATAAATTTAATTTAAATAGAAATATTTTAAAAATATTACTATTAATGATTTTGAAAAAATTCGGCTAATCATTATTCACTTTTTGACAAATTTAAAATTGATTAATTATATTATTTTGACAAAATTAATTAATTGGTTGGCTGGTCACTATTCACTTTTTGAAAAATTAAAATTGATTAGTTATATCATTTTGACAAATGTGATTTTAATGAGTTGTTTTCTTTTGACAAAATTGATATACCCACATGGGGTCGTGGGTTATTTTCATCCAAAATCTCTACAATAGCCACAAAAATTTTAAATGGAGTATATATATATAGGTCTTTACAAGTAAACCCTTAGATAAACTTTTGATTAACCTTCCTAGCTCTAGGAAACGATGAAGTCTCCTAGGAAACGATGAAGTCTCACTACTCAGGATACCACTACTGTTGAATCTATTGAAAAAATATTCAATAAATTAGCAACCTCCTCTTCTAATAAAAAAAACAAAGTTTTAACACAACAACCATTTAATGAGATTACTCAATCTGCGTTAGACACATCAAATGATGAAATTGATCAATTAGCTCAACAATTTCAAGACACTAATCTTAATCGAATCACCAATACCAAATCTAAAGTTAATCCCAATACTCTTACAAAAAAACTGGTATACTAGACGTACTCCTCCAGATTTACAATTTGAAGAAACTAATGTTAATAACTAATTTTCTGTTTCTGCTAAACAATTATATGAATGGAATATAGATGGTCTTAGTGAATATCAAATCCTTACTAAATTAAATCATTTATTTATGGTCGCAAGCAGATACCTTACTAATTATCCTGATTATACTCAACCTAAAATTGTTATCTTAATTACTAATGGATTCACTGGCATGCTCAAATCTTGGTGGGATAAATATCTCACTTCTGATCAAAGAGAATCGATTCAATATGTTGTTCAAATGAATGATAATGGTTTTCCCATTTTTGACGAAGAAATAGATACCAATATAGCTGATGGTATTAATACACTAATATACATTATAGTCAAACATTTCATTGGAACCCTAACTAATATTTATTCCTGCATCCATGATCAACTTAGTAATTTAACCTGCCCTACTCTTAGTGATTTTCGAGGGTATAAGGATGTGTTTACCTCTAGAGTCATGCTTAGAGATGATTGCACAAAGTCATTTTGGAAAAAAAAAAATTATTAATGGATTACCTAGTCTTTTTGCTCATAAAATTAGAGATGTTCTTAGTCAACCTATAGGTGTCATAGAATATGATAATTTAACTTATGGTGATATAATCAGTACTATTCAAAAAGAAGGATTAAGAATGTGCATAGACTTAAAACTAAGTCAAAAAACTGCTAAATATAAACATAAGGCTAAGTATGAATTAGGTAATTTCTGTAAACAATACGGTTTACCTCTTGTTGCACCTTCTCGAAGAAAATATAGTAAAAAGAAATCTTCTTATAAATATTCAAATAAATATAAAACACCTTCTAAATCAACTGATAAATTTTATACTAAACCTAAAAAGAAATATTATAAGAAAACTAATCCAAAACCAAAATCCACTAAAGATATTACCTGTTACAATTATGGTAAAAATGGTCATTATTCTAATAAATGTAAGATTAAAGAAAAACTTAATCAATTACAAATTACTGAAGAAAATCAAAAACAAATATTTGATATATTTCAATTAGATAATTCTCCAAATAATTCTAGTCAATCATATGATGATCCTACTCCTAATGATACCTCTAGTTACCACACTCCTAGTGATGATACTGATAACAATATTGAATTAGGATATAATGATACTTGTTATAAAACAGTCAATGTACTTACTAAATCACAATAAGAAGAAATTACTCTCATTGAATTGATTGCTAAATTAGAAAAACCTGAACTTAAACAACAATATGCCGATAAATTAAAATCTTTACTTATTAATAAAGATCAAAAACTTATAATTAGTCTTAATAAAAGCTTAGAACGATTTAAAAAAGAAAAACATAAAGAAGTCATTTTACAGGATTTACAAAATGAAATTAACCACATTAAATCTACTATCAAAGAATTAAAAGAAAATGATAAATCTTTAGAAGAAGAAATTTCCATATTACAGATTAACAAAGGTCTTAATGATTTCAAAAATAGTCAAAAATCATCTTCTGCATCTGGTTTTGGTTCTGAAATAGATCCTGATAAAGTCATTTTTGATAATAGATCTATTAATAGTCATAATGATAGTAATCGCCTCAATTTAATAACTTGCATTAATATCCGGAAATGGCATTCAAAAGTCAAATTAGTTATTAATGATTTTGAATTAGACGTTATAGCATTAATTGATACAGGTGCTGATTTAAACTGTATTCAAGAAGGTTTAATCCCTACTAAATATTTTCATAAAACTACTGAACAATTAAGCTCTGCTAATGGAAGTCAAATGCATATCCAATATAAATTACCCAAAGTTCATATCTGTCAGAATAATGTTTGTTTTAAAACATCATTTGTTTTAGTTAAAAACTTAACAGATAAAGGTATTTTAGGTACACCATTTATATTTCTGTTATATCCATTTACTACCACTAACCATGGAATAACAACCCAAGCATTTGGTCAAAAAGTCACATTCACATTTTTGTCTCCACCCGAAATTAGAGAATTAAACCAATTAAAAGAATGTTCTATATCTCAATCTATTAATCGTTTAACCAAACATCTTAAATTTCTTAAGGAAGAGGTAAAATATAAAAGAGTTGAAACCCAATTAACGAATCCTATTTTACAATAAAAAATTACACAATTCAAACAAAAATTAGAATCTACTATTTGTTCAAGTTTACTTAGTGCTTTCAGGCATAGGAAAAAACATGTCGTCACATTACCTTATATTAAAAACTTTAATGAACGAAAAATCCCAACTAAATCTCGACCTATTCAAATGAATAATGAATTAGTTGAAATGTGTAAAAAGGAAATTACTGAATTATTAAAAAATAATATCATTCGTCATAGTAAATCACCCTGGTCTTGCCCTGCTTTTTATGTTAACAAAAATGTTGAATTAGAACGTGGTGTGCCTCGTTTAGTCATCAACTATAAACCATTAAACAAAGTTTTAGAATGGATTAGGTATCCAATCCCTAATAAAAAAAATTTAATTAAAAAACTTAGTCAAGCTGTCATCTTTAGTAAATTTGATTTAAAAAGTGGGTTTTGGCAAATCCAGATTCATCCCGAGGATAGGTATAAAACTGCTTTTACTACACCATTTGGTCATTACGAATGGAATGCCATGCCCTTTGGACTAAAAAATGCTCCTAGTGAATTCCAGAATATTATGAACGAAATATTCAACCCTTTTAGTCATTTTTCCATCATCTACATTGATGACAGCCTTATCTTTTCCAAGTCACTAGAAGAACATTGGAAACATCTCCATTCCAAGTTATTAAACACAATGGTTTTGTCATTTCTGCTCCTAAGATTAAGTTATTCCAAACCAAAGTCTGATTTTTAGGATATGATATTTACCAAAGTACTATTCTTCCCATTAGTCGGTCAATCAAATTTGCCTCCAAGTTCCCTGATGAAATTCTTGATAAAACTCAATTACAACGGTTTTTAGGATCATTAAATTATATTGCTGAATTCTACAAAGACCTTAGGAAAACTTGTCAATCACTTTTTGTTCGGTTGAAAGATAATCATTCTCTTTGGTCTTCTACTCACATTGCTATTGCTCAACAAGTCAAGAAATATGTCAAGACTTTGCCTGTCTTGGTATTCCTACTAAAAATTCATTTAAAATTATTCAAACTGATACTTCTGGTATTGGTTGTGGTCGTATTCTCCTTCAGAAGCTGACTCCTCAATCATCTGAACAAATTGTTTGTTTTCATTCTGGAGTTTGAATCACACCCAGAAAAATTATAGCACTTTTAAATAAGAAATTTTATCTCTTGTTTTATGTATTAGTAAATTTCAAGATGATATTTTAAATCAAAAATTTTTACTACGTGTTGATTGTAAAAGTGCTAAATATGTTTTGAAAAAAGATGTTGAAAATATCGCTAGTAAACATTGTTTTTCCCGATGGCAATCTATTTTAAGTGTCTTTGATTTTGATATTGCGTATATACCTGATAGTCAAAATTTTATTCCTGATTTCCTTACCCGAGAATTTTTACAGGGGGGATAGGGATGGCAACTCCTTTTATTTCCTACCATAAATCCAAAGTCACCTTTTACAAAACCTTATTCACCAAACTGCTTATAGAATTACTTGCCTCAAATTAGCCAAAAAGACTACTCAACGTGCTCAATATATTCAATTTCACCAAGTTCGCAATCGACGCAATTTACTTGCTCATTATTACAATTGTTTGGATTATCATCAAAACTATTTAGATATCCTCAGTGGTTGCTAACCTTA